ATATATTTTTATATATATGTATATATGTGTGTATATCAAATATTTATATACATGTATGTGAGTATATGAATGCATGCTGAAACAGCGAATTTTTGTTACAAATATATTTAAACTTATATGCATGCAGTTACATCGATATATATCCTGAAGAATATATATATATATATATATGTATATGTGTGTATGTAATGATTTATATATCTACACTTGTATGTGCTGCATCCTGCTTCATGTCCACGTAGGTGTGTCGATTTTCCTACGGAGGTGGTTTATTTTGATGTATTACGGATATAAACGTGGAATGGAGATATTCTAAGTGTTATATTTCGTTAGTTTATGTGCCTACGAATACGCCGAACTCATGCTAGCCTAGATTTTTGGTTGAACCTCTCAAATACTTAATCCTTAACCATATGCTATCAGCATTTCCCTATTTGCTCACTGGTAGCCAGTACATCGGTCCCGATACCTAGAACCGGCCAGATTTTGTATCGGCAAGCGCACTGCAAACCTTCTTTTTATCGTATCCGCCACAGGTGTGGGCAGAGCAGTGGACCTGTGTTGTGCACCTGGCAGTTGGACACAGACTCTCGCACGGAAAATACTCAACGGAGAAGTGTCCGATAAACGAGTGATTTCGGTGGATTTACAAGCAATGGCGCCTGTTGAAGGTACCATATAGCATCAAACCTAAATGTTAGACCAACTCTCATTTTTTTTTCTGCATGGTAGCCCACTTGGCCCTGCTATGCAAATTGCTACTAAGCTCGCGATTTGTGGGCATGTTTCAGAACGACCGCACTTACGTAGTTTACTGTATATCCACTGCATCCGTATATCTCGATTGATTCCGAAATGAGTTCCAAACTGAATCGAATCGAATTACAGACATGAATACATACCTCTCCACGATGACTGGGCTTTCACACTTATTACGCATGACTTTAATCTCTTGATTCGAACTGTCCTTCGAGGTGTACCAATGTCGATCTTAATAGGTTGATTTTATTTGGGTGTGGCGATAAATGAACAGGGGTGACTATCCTACAAGGAGATATCACAGAACAAACAACTGCGGAAAGTATCATTAAGGCTTTCGACGGAAAATTGGCGGATCTAGTAGTGTGCGATGGCGCTCCCGATGTAACCGGACTGCACGACATTGATGAATATAATCAGGCGCAGCTTTTGCTTGCTGTAAGTTTTTATTCAACCGCTTTTGCTAGCTCAAAAAGTCGATTGGCGTGCACACTTGTACTTTTATATACTTGGCGCTTAGCAGACTTTCTAGCAGTCTTCTCGTATCGGGCAATTCTCATGTTTGGGACTTAGATTCCTATACTACATGTCTCCTGTATTGGTAGCTGTATCGCTAAACGGGCCAGCTTTTAACACCTCGGTTCTACGTCGCTTTGTACCAATATACCAATATCAATTGCGATCCATCAGTAAGCTCTAGAATCAACTGGCAACCAATCTAATCCACTTTGCATCCGAAATCGGGCAGGCGATGAATATAGCCACCTGCGTATTGAGGCCTGGGGGAACGTTCCTCGCGAAGATGTTCAAGGGGAATGAAACCGTGCACCTTGTATCACAGATGAAAGTGTTGTTCACACACGTGACCATCTCCAAGCCAAGGAGTAGTAGAGCAGCGAGTGCGGAGGCATTTGTGGTGTGTGTGGGCTACAGACCGCCGGTGGGATACACCCCCACACTGTCGAATGCCTTTCTCGACAGCGATTCCTACACCGCGGATAACTTGTCGGCAGCGAACGCATGTTACGAGCCGTTCCTGACATGTGGAGATATAAATAAAGCTGTGCCGAGTTGATAACGAATAGGCTGTATGCGATAGATGTGAGTCAATTTACGTCGGCAATCTGTGGTTTAGCGATAATCCAGAACGCATTCGGAAAGCATTCAACAGTGTGGTGAGGTGTTTCAGGAATAAGATATGCTTCGAATTGCTTCTTCTCTCTCTCCGTAAATTGTGTTTTTTAATTTTATCACGATACCACGTAATGGTGAAGGATGACTTTTATTATTATTATGGTCCAAGTCCAGAGGTGCGCAGAATGCCATTATTGTGCGGATTGTGTAGAGTGCCAGAATAGTGCCTCCTTTTTTTGTAGATTCTTTCCATTCATTATCAATCAATGTTTAAAACCACCATTAAATTACATGAAAAAAAAGAGCTCAGCAATCGCAAAACCAACAATTTTATTTCATTTTTTTAAATATTCCGTGTCATGCACAAAATACTCTAAATATATTTGCGGTATGCTCGCATGAGCAATCCTGACGGGGGCATAATCTAAGTGAGTACTCACGCAACAGTCACAGGGGCATGTCACCCACTCTGCATGCGGGTGCACGCCCATACCCGATACTCGCGCGTCCTTGGATTCTTGTATAGGGCGCATGTTCACCCCCACAACGTTGCAAGTCGCAATATTATCTAAACATTCCCTCAAATGAGCTCAGAAATCACCTCTATCCTCTTTGGAGGCTCTCGTGCTGGCAGTGTATCCAAAAGGTTAATTTTGGCTGTTCCAACCGTCAGTGGTCATGTTTTGCAGTGTACACCAGTATTGTTTTTGATGTTTCCCGGAAACTCAGAGAATATGCCCGATTACAAATCGGAGTGCCATCCTCGATCAAAACCATTATCTCACGAAGTCGTCTGATGTCAAACTTCTACCTTTCTTACTCGCTGACACATATGTGTAATTGTAAGTAGGCAGTGCTTTCTTTACACCTAGGCTCGAATTCCAATTCTCGATTTTTCATGTGAAAGCCACAATGTGCGTAACATAGGCACCTTGAGCATCTTTTGCACCAAGCATCCATTCAATGTATCGTCTATGCGATGCAGCGTATCTGCTACTACCCATATCACCCATCCCCTCTGTCTGCTGATTCCCAAAGCCTCTGGAATGTCGGCCACTGTGAAAACGTGAGCCGGCAGCTTCCTATTTTTGATCTTCACATATGGTTTGACAGCAAGAGGAGCGCAAGCGTGTCATTGAGAAAGGGCAAAAACATGGAATACTCAGTCTACGAACCTTGAATATATAGTCTTGAATATCGCAGAAGCTTTCTATTTTGAGCGTAAAACGCGCATGGGAACCTTGATGCTCAGCACAAGCGTAATCGGCCGAATTTAGAAAAGAAAAAGTGCATTCGGAAAGGCCAGGTCAAATTCAAAATCACTACCGCGTAGATTGTATCATTTATCGCAGCTTACCGAATCTAAAGTGCGCTGCACCCGGCCCTGTGGTATAATGAACCACTTTTCGTATAGCTCGACATTCACATGTGTGAAACTCTGCACCTTTCCTTCCATCACCAAAGTTCGGAATTCCATGTCGTAGTTATATACTGTACACCACGAGAATTGATTACTGTAGAAATAGGATTTGACAATGAATAAAATTTTTAGTAGAAATATGACTCGACAATGAGTACATAGTTGTAAGGTAAGGTACAAGCTTGATGCGGTCTACAGTTTCAAATACCAGACTGAAGGATCGGTTGCAAATGTGCTTTTCTCATGTAGGACATGTGCTACCCTGAATTGATTTCCAATGTTTCATAGCCATTTGCTTTCACACTAGATTATGCGGAACCAGTACCTATGTATGTTGACGCATAAGCCTAAGTTCGAAGTTTCAATTACAACATTCGCTTTTAAACCATTCTTAGATACTGGTATCGATCATAGGTACCACGGGCTAAAACAAATATTCTTACTTGTATTCCCGGATTTTATGCTCATATACTTTCAATTCGCCCCTCAAACTCTCCCGGTGCATAAGCAGTCCAACTATGTAATTTTTCCACGCTTGTCTCCATATCTAAAGCGAGACGAGGGACGTCGTTTGAAATTATGAGATTGTGTCGCATGTGCTTGAGCTGATCATACATGCTTCGTATCAAGCAACAAACAAGTTGTTGCTTCACAATATTTCCAAAAGCACCTGGCCATACACAACACACAAACACCGTACTCCTACATCTCGTGATCATTAATGACTGCTGGTGTATGTATTGCAACCAGCACAAGAAGATAGAGAACTATCAAGAAAATCTGATGTACGAAGCTGTACAATGTAATACTGAAGAACGATTCCCATTCCAAAACCTCACGGCGACGAGCAGAGAGTGCCTTAATGATAGCTGCAAGTGCTTGTATACTGCACATTCATATCCCAAAAACAACACAACACTAATGATGATTAATAGTTTCAGAAGTAGATTGGATAGCACACTTTAAAATGGACAAATAGCTATGCAGATTAAATTGTGAATTTAGACTCAAATACGGCCACGGATATATACACGAATATATTCGTTGTAATGAGTACATATACATATGCACATATACCGGAATCTTATTCACAACAACAGGTAAACTTAAACATGCAGGTCTAGCTAGATACGCTTGCACACAAAACTGTATAGATATATACACACAGAAATAGATATATACACACATATATACACACAGAAATAGATACACTCAATA